TTTTCTAACCAGTGGGGAATGAATGCAGCAAGTGAAGATGGAATAATATGGATTCTAAATAAAATAATGTGCCTAAAAGATGCCATTGTTTAAATTAGCCCCTCAGACGGACAGGCAATTAAATTCTGCCTCTGGTTTAACTTCTTGTGTGGATCTGGACACAGGAAGCCGTACATGGGTGGTATTTTTCCCCCTTCAACTTCAGAGGAAATGTACCCAGGTATGAACCAGGGGCACAACTCATATATCAATAGTCAGTAGAGGGTCTACATAAATCCTTTCCTTTAAAGTCATTTCACTGTTTTCAAAATGGTTTCAACAGAAGTAATTCCAATTGCACCAGAAAGGAAACCAGAATCTTAAAGAAAAATATACTCTCTTTGCTGAGCAAGACAAACATATGAGTATAGAGAGAAACAAACCAGTCTCTTGTGTTTTATTTCCTTAACAAATCCACTGAAACAGTTACTTTATGTCTTTAAAAGGCTGATAGACAAAGAATTCTGTGGCTGCTAAAAATCAATGCCTACAACTGGTCTGTAACCACTTTAAAAAGGAAGATACTTTTTACATTTTCTCTGTTATTTACAGTATCTTGTTATGGAAAATTCCACATATTATGAACACAATAAATATTTTTGTGTTCTTTAAAAAACAAGATTGAAAACACTCACTGGAGATGGATTTTTAAATTTAAGGAATTAGATAAATTCCTATTTTCCTGCATATGTCTATGCATAACTGAACACATTGGATCAAAAACTAACCTTTTTTCCTTGTCAAACCTTTCATAGAGTAATACTTTTCCAATAAGCTCTAGGTGACTTTCTGTTGTGGTGGTTTCTGTTTACTCTTCTAAGAATGAATGCTTAAAGTGCAAATCTTCCTACCTGGGAAGGCGATACTAACTCGGTACTGTTAGAGGATGACTAATCCAAAGTCATTGGATAGAACCAGCTCAGTTTTGAGAACTAGATGATGTGAGTGGACAAAGTAGATGGCGGTCTGAAATGACAGTTGTTATCTGCACATGGTAGACATTGTATGAGTTTAGATTTGAATCCATTGGATCTGCAGAATGAGAAGAAAGAACTAAGCTTCACTAAGCGAGCCGCCCCACAACTTTTTGAAGTGCTTGCTCGACTGTCACCTCAATGTAGCCTTTTCTGGACACGACTTTAGACTGAGACTCTGTCCTCTGACACTGCAGCTGACCCTGCATTGCGTACACTGCAGTCCTGTCTCCATGGTGTTTTTCTTTCGGGGGAGGTCCTGCCATGATTAGGAGAGCACGTGACATGGTGGTTACAGATCACAGCCCTGAAACAAGCAGAACTGGGCCGAACGTGGGCCTTGGTGTGGCCGGGAAATTCCTCGGATGGAAATTGCAGTTTCTATGTATAAAACTGAGCTAACAACTGTGCTAAGTTCTGAAAAACAAATCAGATTATCCAATGAAACACTCACTAGGTTGGGTATTATTATATAGCTCCTACACCCCTGCCAACAGACTGTAAGACCAGAGAAGATGATGTCATTCACTGGCATTAGTAGTTCTGAGAGCAACCATAGCTAGTGGTTTAAACAACATAACATCAATGTTTCACAGTCCCGAAGGCTGTAAGTCTGAGACCACGAGGTCCACAGGTGTGGTCCTTCTGTTAGGAGAGTCTCTTCTGCACTGGCCCCGAGCTTCTGGTGGTTTGCAGACAATCTTCAGTGCTCTTGGCTCATAAAAGCAAGACTCCAGTCTCTGGTTTCCTTGTCACATGGTGAGCACGTGTGCCCCTTCATTTTTCATTCATAGCTGCCAGTTATATTGAATTCGGTGCCTGCTCCCTTCCAGTCTGACCTTATCTTTTTTTTTTTCAGCTTTAATTGAGTTTATTGGTACATTTTAGGGATACAGTACAGTTACATTCATTGTTGGGATCTTGTACCTCTACATGACAAGTCTTGATTCTCATTTTTTCCCCTTACCCCTGCCCTCCCTTCACCCCCTCCTCCCCTCCCCATCTACAAGCACTTTATTTCCATCTTTTAATTATCTCACATTTTTTTCTTTTCCCTTATTACCCTTCCCCTACCCATCCCACCTTCCCTACACCTTTAACTCCTTTCTTCCCATTTCTAAATGTCAGTAATCTTGTTAGGATCTTATGTATTATTGCAGATTATTCACACCCGACCTTATTTTAACAGTGTCTGGAATGACCCTATTTCCAAGTAAGGCCACACCCTAAGGTACTGACTTCAACTTATGAATTGGTGGGTGGAGGGGACACACTTTCACCCACTGCACCTGATCACCTTTTATATGTGTTATTTGCTCTGCATTTAGTGTCAGGGCATGGCTGATGGATCCATTTGATTTAAAGAAATGTCTTAAAGATTCAGCCATGGACTCTCTCCCCCGAAACAAAGTAATCTTGTACAAACAACCTCTCATACCAAGATTCACCAGAAGAGGAGACTTCCCACTAGTTCCTTGTTATGCTGTGCCTTAGGTCAGCATGACACATCATGCTAAGGGGGATATTCTGTTCAGGACTTCTTAGACAGGATTCCTGTGGGCAGATAGCAGAAGTGTCTTACATTTGGATAGAGGCTGAGATAGGCCATTTGTAGCAAGGTTTAAATGGTTTATTTGTCTAAATCTCTGGGTAACAGTGTTATTTTCCAAATTTTAGGTGCAGCTTTTAATTTCTTTAATGTAACCCCAGAGATATGTTAATAATAAGTAACAATTCTCCTCAGAACTGTAGAATAGTTATAAAGTACTGTGGTAAGATTGGCTCTGCAAACTGTGTGCATACTGGATGCAGTACTTCAATGAATATTCTCATTTAAAGTTTTTAATATCTAAATTGCAGTATTTTACGTATCTATGGATTTTTAAATTGATATTTCTTTCACAATTCTTAATAATGTCTGAATGTTTGAAGTTGCTTTTCAAGCCATACATATTTATCTATGTGAGCATTTAAGGCTATGTTCAGAATGTGTTCTGTAAAGGACTGACGCTGAAATTCTGTGTTGATACAACTCAGCATTTATTACTATGAAAATGGGATGATGATCCGTAGAGCTTGGAATCTATAGAAAGTCTGTAAAGGAGTCTGTGGACCTGGGGGAAAGAAGTGTTTTTTTTTATTATTATTATTTTGAAGCAAGAAGTGGTGAGCAGCCCATTTTCTTATTGTTTCCATTTTCTCTCTTTTTAATTTTTTTGCAAGGAGAAGTCAGCAGCAAATTTATTTTTACATACAAATTTCACCTTTAAAATATGTTTTAGTATGTTTGCAGGACATAATGATTACATTTATCCCTGGGAGTTGGTACATGCACAGAACACATCTTGATTTATTTTTTCACCCCCTATTCCTCCCGTTCCTTCTGCTCCTTCTAACTCTTGGTTCCCTTCCCATTCACAAAAGCTCTATTTCCATTGTTTCTTCAGTTCTTTTCTATCTGTCTCTCTTCTCTTCCTCTCCCTCCCTTTATCTCTTGTTCCCCTTCCCATTTGAGAAAGATCCCCTACTGTTATCTTTTATTTTGTTCTTTATTTACGTTTTAGGCTTTTCATATAGAAGAGAAAACATGATATTTACACTTGTGAGTCTGATTTATTTCACTTAGAAATATAACTTAATAATATAGTCCCTAGGTCCATCAACTTGCCTGCACATGCCTCAGGTTTACCCTTCTTTGTGACAGAGTGGTACTCTGTTGTGTGTAAACACCACGTTTTCTTTATCCATTCATTTATTAATGTGCATAAAGGCTATTTCCAGGATTTAGCTATTATAAATTTTGTTGCTGTAAACAGGGTACACGTGCATCACCATAACAATTTTAATTCTTTTGAGGAGATACCTAGAAGGGCAATAGCTGGGTCAAATGGACTTTCTACTTTTAGTTTTAGAGGAATCTCCGCACTGATTTCTACGTGATTGTACCAGTTTACCTTCCCACCAACAATGCCTCATCAGCATTTGTTATTATTTGATTTCTTCATGTTAGCCATTCTTTCTGGAGTGAGATGGTATCGCAGTGTTGTTTTAATTTGTATTTCTCTAATGGCCAGCAATATCAAACACTTTTTAATGTGTTTGTAAGTTGTTTCTTTTAAACTCTCTTGCGAACCTACAGTAAATATAACACTGTATTCAAAAACTGTGAAAAAGGTTTTAACTTTGTACATCATGTTATTTTTTGAGTTGAATTTTCCTGTGACATCTTGCCTGTCTCCTAAATCCTCCATTACTGTGGCTGAAGGTTTCAAGTGCTCTAGAATTAAAGGACCTCTAAGAAAACAAGTGGAAAGAGGGAGAATGAACATCCATCGCCAGGGGCAGGAGGGGTGATGCAACATCTGGCTGTAGTAGCTCACTGGATCCATTCGTTAGTGCTCATTAAATTTACATTAATTCATGAACTTTCTGAATGTATAAATGCCATTTGGTTGCTTTCTCCCAGACCAATGGGACTGGGTCTATCCCTGGTTATTTACTTGCCAATGGCATTTGACCTGGGGTCAGACCTGTATTTAACCCTTTCCTGTAGGTCAAAAATAAATTAATTTGGTGAAAATTAAATTGGAAATGAGTCATCTGCACAACAGGTGTTCTCCTTGGAAAAAAGCGCTCCAGGTGGAAACATTTTGAGATCTGTTCCTGAGCCATCTCTGAAGAAGACTCAGAGGTCAGGGAGGCAATTCCAAGACATCCCACTTGGCAAGGGCCTGGAGGGGAATTGAACAGGTGCCCACTCTGTGCCGTTTTCTCAGCAGCTTGGGGAGATGTTCAAAGAGGCCCCTTTTGGAAATAATTTATTCATATATTCATGAACATTTTTCTTGGGCATTCATTGTAGACTGATTTACTTAGAAGTTGCCCTAAATGATTGGAACTTTACCCTTTACCCCTACCTCCCACCATCAGCCAAAGACTTTGATTTGAAGAAAGAAAATATTGCATTTTTCTTTTTCTTTTCTCTAGAGGATGAGGAAGATGAAGAAATGGTGGAACCCAAAGTTGGCAATGATTCAGAACTGGAAAATCAAGACAAAAAGCAGGAAATGAAGGAAGGTATGATGTAGGAGCTAAACTGAGTGATTATTTTACTGTTTTGTTTCCTTTTACCAATGTAAGAGATAATAGAGGTAAATGAATTTATATCCCCTGTATGAAGAGTTTTTGTGGTTACTTAGTATGTTATGCTTAGTAACATAAACTAATTTCAAAATTTGTTTCCTGATAGCCGCAAGTGAATTGGAGACAATCTGAAATTTCATTCATCACTCCAGTAATGCTACTAAATAGTGACAAAAAAATGAATCATTTTTAATTATCGTGTTATGTTGTCCATTCATATTCTCTATGATAATAATAGAGGGGGCAGATATAATTATTTTATCAATAGATTATGAGTTGTCCTCATGCATTTTTACATAGAAATATTGAGAGTGATCATCACCATTAACTGCACTGTTAAAAGTTTTCCTCCACCCCTCTATGCATAGTAGCAGAAACAACCTTTTATGTACTCTGGTAACAATAGTAGGTAACATTTACTAATGGCTTATGGATATATTTGGCTCTTTCCTAAGTAGTCCACAAATATTTTCTACTCTTCAGAACATCATTCTGAAACATATGCTGTCATTAACTTTATTTTATAGATAGAGAACAAGAAAAGTTTAAAACTTACCCAAGGGCACACAATTTATAAGCATGAGATAAGATTTACGGTTGAATCCCAAACCTGTACATTTTCACAATTACATCTTCATAGCATTTACTTACAAGTCTAATTATTTATTGCTTTGAGACTCCCAGCACAGGTGAGAATTTCAAAATTGTAATTTTCACTGAAAAAAAATGGAGAGTGGTACCAGAGAACTCGGGGTAGCGTACAAAGGTTCTTCCATGTTTCTGACTGAGTTTCTCAAGTAGAGATTAACGTAACTCTAATTAACATCTCATCTGATTTGTAAATTTGAAAGACGGCCACGGCTGTAGCAGTGTACAGCACATGGTCAGCCCTGGAGACTTTCCTAGGAATCTCTACATACTGACCCTACATCCTTACTTCAATCCCTTGTGCTCTCATGAGAAATTCTTGTGTAGCCTGAGTCCCTTACACTTACATTTTTGTGTGGATATCATATGGAGTTAAATGAGACCTTTTTTTTTAATTGTTAAGAATCGCCACACATTCAGGATAATTTGCCGCTCCACCTGAGGGCAAGTTTAATGTGTTTGATTTATTTTATGTAAACTGAGTTGCCTAAAAGCCATTTCAGGGTAGCAAGACAAAAAGCACAGGCTCTGGAGCCAGAATACCCAGGATGAAATCATGGCTATGCCCCTTATTATCTGTGTGATCACTGCTGGTAAACTCAGCTTACCTTTTCCTGACCTCAGTTTCTCCATCTGGCAAGCAGAGGTAATACCTACCTCCCAAAGCTCTTTGTAAAACTTAAAGGGTTAGTATGGAGCATTATCACAGGTATAGGAAGAGAAAAAAAAATGTCAGGAGTCATTAAAATGTGTTCTTTTTCCTTTTGAAAAATATGCTTAAAGCATAATGGGTGCTACAGAAGCGAGGATCATTTTTGTGATCTTGGCCTGCGTTCCGCATCACTACCCCCAGCTCCGATACCTGTCTCCAAATTATCTTCCCTGGCAAAGCAAAGTAACCTCTTCCTCACATTTGGAATGAACGCACCGTTCAGTTTCAGCTGATGCTCATACTTCATGGAATTGATTAAAGCCATGTTAAAAGTAAAGGAAGAAGTTTAAAAGAACATTTCCTGTTACCCCTTCACTGTGTGCCTTTTTCTCCATTTAATGGCTTTTCTGCAAATTAGCACATAATGGGTTAAAAGCATGTTTATGTTGGCATCAAGCTATCTGGAATGAACGCACCGTTCAGTTTCAGCTGATGCTCATACTTCATGGAATTGATTAAAGCCATGTTAAAAGTAAAGGAAGAAGTTTAAAAGAACATTTCCTGTTACCCCTTCACTGTGTGCCTTTTTCTCCATTTAATGGCTTTTCTGCAAATTAGCACATAATGGGTTAAAAGCATGTTTATGTTGGCATCAAGCTATCTCTTC